GCCATTTGAGATGCGTCAGCAACCAGACTCTCCGCTCTGACCACAAGAAGAGAAAGCGGTACAAGCCCTGCCAAAGCACGAATGTGTCCCCCGCTGCCAATATGTGACAGGTGTCCGGACTCCTCTCCTATAGATTGCCACAAGACATAGCCAACACTGAGTCCCCGTTCACACCATCGCGGTCCATGAATGCACACGTGTTCACAGAACGCGTCAAAAACGTGCAACGCACTTGTAGTGCCATTACTAGTTAATGAGACCCCCAAATGCAGCCAGGAAAACACACTGGAGAAAACGTGGGGCGCATGTCGCAGAATTTGCTTTTTTCCTGTGTTTGTTGGACACGAAATCAAAGGTGACGCACAGGAAAACCCACCTGCGAACGCACATCACCGCAATACGCATTCACGGAATGTGACGGTGTGAACGAGGCCTAAGACTTACAACATCAAACGATTCTGGGAGATGAAACGAGCGACATTTTAGATCCGCCTTTCTTAACCTTGTAAACATGGAGGAACTTCCCATAGGCATGCGCACAGTGTGTGCCGGGTGTGCCGCGTGTGCTGCGTGTGCCATCTCAGCAATGTCTCGCAGTATCTCAGCAGTGTCTCGCAGTGTCTCAGCAATGTCTCGCAGTATCTCAGCAATGTCTCAGCAGTGTCTCGCAATGTCTCACAATGTCTCGCAGTGTCTCAGCACAGGAAAGGTATTTCCAATTGTCTTCTTCTCGTATCTGTCAGTGTGTGTGGCTGTCAGTGTGTGTGGCTGTCAGTGTAAATCTAGGCATATTGTAGAGCTCTCTCATGCCGGTGATCTGTCGATAGTAAAAACTTGTCCAGTTGTGGGACCGCATGACTTCCGGTTTCCTTAGAACTACGAGGTTTGCAGGTTATTTATCTCCGGTGCCCCACTCAATATGGCCGCCGCTTGAGCGGGGCACCGGAGATAAATAACGTGCTGGATTACTGTGATCCCACTTCATTTTATGACTTTATTGCTGTGGTGCATGTGTATAGGGCAATGGCGTGGATGGCGCTCGTGCAGAAGAAGTTTTGTGTGCAAACCTCGTAGTTCTAAGGAAACCGGAAGTCATGCGGTCCCACAACTCGACAAGTTTTTACTATCGACAGATCACCGGCTTGCAGCCCCCGGCAGTGTAATTCACTTGGAATGAGACCCCCGGCTGCTTTGTATTTCCTTACGCAGTGTTGCAGCTGAACTCTCTGGAAGGAGCCGGTTACATAGACAATATTGCGTCGCTGCTCATTCAGCCAGCGCACTGACCACCCTGAGCTCCGGACCACCTCAGCCAGCAGCGGCTCCTGGGGGGTGGAGACTGCAGTGCTGGGGACTAGACTTGTGATTGTGTGAAGGTGAGACAGCAGCTCGGCTTCACTCTGATCATGCTTTCCCCTATTTCTGTCTCCAGCAGATGATGGGGAAGGTAGTCTTGCTAGGTGCGTTGTGGCGGTGCGTGGCAATGCCACTGTGTTATCTCCATTCCTGTGTCCAGAATTTGAGTGGCCAGCGCATGCTGATGGCGCAGGTGTGCACAGCCTTTAAAATAAAGGTGTTGGAAAGGGTTCAGGACTCCACCTGGGAGACAGGAAAGCTCCACCCAGGAGTCAGAGTGGAGTCCCATGCAGCAGGGTGCTGCAGGTTAGCACATGACTGTGACTGAGGAACAGACAGTGGCCTGAGGTCTAGGGCCAGAGCAGCGGTGCTGCAAATGCAAAGCCAGGAGGCTGGATGGGCATGTGCTGCCATGAGATGCTAAAGAACCCCTGCGAGGGTAATTGTTCTTGTTTGTGAATGGTCATTTAATAAAAGTGGACAAGGAAGCCCTGAAATGAAGATTTCTGCGAGTGGATGCGTCCTTAATGCGCTACTGTTTGGAGCGAATTCTCACAGCGTATGCAGCAGATGATGGGGAAGGTAGTCCTCCTATGTGTGTCTCTAGCAGATGATGGGGAAGGTAGTCCCCCTATGTGTGTCTCTAGCAGATGATGGGGAAGGTAGTCCCCCTATGTGTGTCTCTAGCAGCTGGCAGCATGCAGCAGGCCAATGTTCCGCAGCTCCCTCCCGCAGTGGTTGTTACTCCCTGAATGTCAGCTCACACATGTACCCTGAGAGAGGAGTGTGTCTCTAGCAGATGATGGGGAAGGTAGTCCCCCTATGTGTGTCTCTAGCAGCTGGCAGCATGCAGCAGGCCAATGTTCCGCAGCTCCCTCCCGCAGTGGTTGTTACTCCCTGAATGTCAGCTCACACATGTACCCTGAGAGAGGGCGGGAGGAGACTTGCCTCTGCTTGCATTCTCCTTCTTCTCACCATAAATATACAATATCCCTGCGGATGGGAGAACAGCTTCTATTAAACTTCCTTATTCACCTCAGCTGCAGGTCAGTGCTGTCGTCGCACCTCCTCCTGGCCAGTGACTTGTGAATGGCCCGCATGAGAGGGGAATGGAAATGCAACCTCAGCAATGACCTGCAGTGCCACAGCTGGAGCAGGCACAGGAGTTCAGCGGGTTCTGGACTTCCACCCGCATTGGTATTGACGATTTATGGCGAGAAGAAAAAGATCTATTATGGACAGACATGTCTGTAGCCCTTAAATGTTGCACAATCGGGGTTGGAGAGAAATGCCTCTAAGAACCAGGCAGAGAGATGTTTGCATCTCCCCGCCAGCTCTTAGCAACCTTGGTGCCTGGGAAGCTGCGAGGAAGTGTAGCTGTGGCTTCCCAGGCTTCCCATCCAATCAGGAAACTGGGCAGTTGGTCACATGAACGTTTTAAGGGACTTTAGCATGAACAGTGAGTAGAGATATAACAATAAATAAAAGAACGATTAATGTGGCGCAGTTGATAATTTGACACCCGGGGCCGCTCTATACAACACAATGATTTTCCTTAGAAAAAATAAAAAAAAAGTAGAATGGAAACACAGACATTGTAAATGGTTATTTTCTCTCTCACATTGGCTGTATAGGGATAAATGCCACCCCCTCCCCCCACCCTCCTGGGGGGTCAGTGGAGAAGGATCCCCCTTAGATTGACGGTAATTGGGAGAAGGACCCCATTACACTGGTGATGACTGTGCCTTGCATGGACACTCAGTAGGAAGCAAGCCCCCCTTATAGATAATGAGAAAGATAATCGGTGTCAGTAGCTATTAATCTGATAGGCACTGCCCGAGGAACCCCAAACAACCTCTAAAGAAATCCTGAGGTTCCATGGAACCCTGGATGAGGAAGGCTGGCCCAAGCTTTCCAGTGTGCCAGCTGGCACCTTGCAGGGCAGAAAAGGTCCGTGAGTGTGAGATATACATCCCATGTCCTTGTCTATTACTGGTGAGAAATGTCCAGTCCGGAGAGGTACCATTCCCAGATGGAGATTTTTGGATCCTCAGTGCCACAAAGGAGCTTAGTGCTGGAAGACTTCCATTTGCTAGACCCTATAATCATTAAAGGGATCAGAAGGCTATATAATGCTCACTATGGGCCAGTGGCTGCAGATCCTACTCTGATCACTGACACTAGCTCAACAGACCTCACTAGTATTGGCCTATGGGGATAAATGCCCCCCGGGCCCCAGCCTAGTACTCCTCTGATATATATTCTTCATTTTAGAATTGTGCATCCTGTGTCTGTTGATCACCTACCAGTGTAATGTATTGCAAACTCTAAGGCCGACTCGTGAAAACTGGAGGAATGTCGATGAGCACTGGAGTGGAGTTGTCACCCATAGTTACCATGAGACCTTTTGTTTCATTTTTTCACGAAAAAGATACAGTGAATCCCGATTGGCTGCTGGAGGCAACAACTCCAACTATGTTTCTTATGTTTTGCACTTTTCATGTATCAGCTGCATGTATTATTACGATATGTTTCTGGAAATGTGATCAATGTGGGAAAAGCCTCAGTCACTACTCATCAGACAGCAGAACACAGAGCTCCCTCCAGATTCCACACATCTCCAGAATCCTCCCTGGCAGGAAAGTAACAACACTGCCTGCATTGTCCCTTTAGATTGCAGACTATATATTTTATATTTTTAACACAGAAATGTAACAAGGGATCTGATTTGTTGCTTCAGGCATTACACACCTTCATTCCTTCATCATTCCCAATTCCACTGAGACCTCGGTCTGGAGATATCGGATTTTCATCCATCTTTACAGCCCTGAGAATAATCATTTGCTCTGTTTTTTATTTATTTACAGTATTAGATATTTAAACCGAACAATCTACAAATTACATCCTATAAGAATGTTCATGAGCACAAAGGAGCCACCAAGGTCTCAGCCCTGTCAGTCATGTACAGAGAACTGTCTCCATCCACCTCCATTGTGCCCTGTGCAGTACATTTGTCTGATAATTTCCATCAATAGTCTGCGTGTCAATTCTTTCTCAAAGATTAGTATAATGCGTCACTAGTTCCTTAAGGTGCAAGTCCATCCAAAGGTGGTGGTGGAGGGGGGTTAGAAGAGTAACGCAGACAGAAATAAGGGCTGGTGTAGACCATAGGGTTAGGTGAATAATGTCTTCTGTGAGTCTCAAGTCACCATTTCTAATTTATCACAATGTACCAAAACCCAAGAACAAAAATGTCATATATTGCAGCTAAACATCCCTTAGATAAGGCGGCTGCATGGATTCTTCTTTCACCTGGTTAACCTGTCAGTAACACTTTCCAAATCCTATGGTGACAACACTTATGTACTGTTTCTATAGAGGTTCAGGATTGTCATCCTAGGACAGGACTACAGAACGCATCCCTTCTTCTCTTCTCTGTAACATGAGGGGGGTCTGCAGTCCTCAGAAATAGCTGGAAACAATGTAACTGATAAGAGTTCAGCACAGGAAGTTATCAGCTCAGAAGATTTAGCGTTTTATGCAATTATTGAACGGATATAATAGCAACTAAGAGAAGTTGGTTGTTGGGTTTATCATAAACCATCTCTTCTCACAGAAAGCACAAGACATAACAGACATGTTACCTTTAAGTTTTCTCCGTAGAACTGGACCATGGATGTGTCTGCCACAAGGAGAACCTCCACGAAGCGCTCCGATGACACAAACCTCCTCTGACGCGTTTGAGGAAGGGCGGCACGGGGGCTTATTGCAGAAATGTTCATGTCAGAATCTGGATAGTCCATCAAGTCTTGTATGGGGAGTGTGTGGTCAGTGGGTGAAGTTCCAGCTCTGCCCCATTTTACTCCATTCTTCTCTCCCTCCCCCGCTCTATTTGCCCCTTGTCTTCCATTACCACCCTCTTCTGCCCAGGTCATTTCTGGTTTGTTCTCCACAGTCCTGCTGGCTATATTGCCCACTTTGAATACAATGTGCTGACCTAAAGCCCCATGTCCTGCCATCATCTGCAGAGGTTGGATCACGTAGCTGTCCTGACCTCGAAGGAAAACCCCCTGAAGCCCTCTGCATAGGCTAAAAGCTGCCAGTGGCTCCTGGCTGGAGTAAAAGCAGTTTGTCAGATCAGCTGCGCTCTCTTCATCAGCACCGTCGCTGCCCATGTGTGTGATACGCACCCCTGGTGCCAGGAAAGCATGGTCAGGAAACAGCTGGAATTCCATCACTACACCCAGAGCAGTCAACCTCAGTGTCACCTTCCCATCCTCCCCTGGAGACAATTCCGGCACCGTCACCTCTCCCCTGGGCAAAGCTTGGATGCCCAATAACCAGTACACCATGCAGGGGCCCCAGAGGTCCCTGACAGCCATCATCCTACTCTCCAAAATGGGAAGTGGACAGGTGTGTGCTGCAGCCCCTATTCAGTCAGCTAACTGCAAAACAAAAAATGCCATTACAGGGGGATTATGCAATAAATAAATGGTGATGTAACTGGACTCCACGAGCCGAAAATGTGCCAATTTCCCTCTAAAAGTTCACATATGTTAATCATTTACTGGATACCAACTCAACCTTCCGGAACTTTTGTTGCAGAATTGTCAGCTCAATGCAGCTGAAGAGCGACAGAGTGTGAGCAGCAGAGTCAGATGGGTGCATGTGGAGGTGTCACCCAGACAGATGAGCCCCAAGGTCAGGAAAGGATGACAGGTCCTCTTGCGTGGTGCAGCAGCAGCAGTAGAGAAGTATGACTGGCTTGGATCTCTCAGTCTCTCGCCTTCTATTCCCAGAAATAGTTGAAGCACCAGAGCTGCTTGGGAAGGATCCCAGTATATATACTCGCACTGCTCCCTCCACCCCGCGGGAGGTTTATTTTTGATCTTTAGTTACTCTTGTCCCTCCCTCCTCGCCTCCTTGTGTACAGGAGAAGGAGGAGAGCCATGAATACAAAAAAAAAGGATCAGTCATTTAACCCTTTCCCTGGCCTGTCCAAGACGGAGTTCACTGGCAGCTTGCTGGTTACAACCTCCCACACTTTGCAGCATTGCTTTAATTAAAGGGCCACTCCGCCCAAAACTGATATTCCTCCTGTAGCTGACGAAGAGTTAAACCCAACTAATGGATTTCCGTCTATAATGAGACGATTGATTTCTCACACCTCAACATTAACAAGAACTCTCACAGTCCTTGCTGAATTCTTTTATATATTTTATTAGGGTGTCTGGGAACAATCCAAAGAACAGATACAGGGATTCACTGTACATTCACATCAGTCCCTGGCCTCAAAGAGCTTACAATCTAAGGATTCACAGTGACACACATAGTAGGGCCAACTCAGACAGGAGACAATATTCCATCCAGTGGGGGAGGATCCCACCCAAGTGCAGGGAGAACATGCAAATGCAGAAAGTATCCCGGCCTGGGATTTAAACGTAGGATCCCAGCGCTACAAGAGAGACGTACCATCCACCAAGCTACTGAGCAATCCACATGTCATAAGATTCAGCAAATGACCGGGCCCAGATACCACTTGTAGCTGAAATTCTAATTTTGTGTGGACTGGCCCTTTAAATGATAACAATAATGGGCATTGCACCCCCTCCCATCTTACACCTTATTCATAGCGGTGGGACAATCCGGGAGGCTTGCGGTGTGTTGCAGAAGGGTTAATCCTTCTAGAGAGTTGTTAGTCCTTGCAGTCTTTGATTTTCCAATAAATGGCGCATTGCTCTGCATGCTGCTGCCTGATATTGCGTTATCCCTTGTGTTACCAGACAGCAGCGCAGGGCGACCGATGACATATATGACCTTTAGAATGTAACATTAACACAACTGTCTTTCAGAGTCCTCCTGTAACAGTTTAGTAGTTTTATTATCTGATCCCGCCAGTAGATCTGTTACTTTTCCACTTCCCGTAACAGGGTGACAACATTGTTCATTTTGTAGTGAAATCACACAGCAGTGTTGTCACTTTGTGAACGGGGAAGTCCAAGATTGAGTGTATGTCAAGCCAAAACCTTAATGGGTGGAGTGGCAAAGGATTAGAACCCCTTTTTGGTTGTACTGCTATCAGAGAGATTTAGCCTCCCTTCCTGTCCTGCTGACAACAGCTTGAAAAGACAGGAAGTGAGGGAAAATCTGCAGCAGGCACACAGACAGGAATTCTGGGGTTTATGCCGTCCCCAAACCTGTCTGTTGTCACCTTTTATTTCCTGTCTGGAAATGGCAGCAGAGAAAACCAAGCAGCTGAAACTACTAAACCTCCACATTTCAGTCTGAGCGTCAATTTATAATGATAATGAAGGGGGCTGAGTCCCCGAAACGTGTTGTAACCAATCTGCACATGGACTAAATCTGTATCTGGCCTATCATAGTGCGGACCTTCAACTCTGGACTTATCGGGGGGTATTTATCAAAACTGGAGCAGACAAAATCTGGAGCAAATTCGCACTGCAGCCAATCAGATTCTCCCCCATACTACTGGGTGATAATCTCAGGGTTCCGGGGCTTTGAATCCACTTCATTTAGACTTCATGCTGCCACCCGGTAACATCTTCCTTCTCATATTTCTTAGATGAGGCCGCAGCTGCAAATTCTCCTCTTCTCTGCGTAATCCCAATATTATTATTATAATAATTATTATTATTTATTATTTATTATTATTATTCTTTGTTGTGTTTTCTCTGTTTGGTCTTTGTGTGGATGGCAGAGTCGCAGAGATGCTTTGCACCATTATCTTCCCCTGATGTGTTTTGTTTGGCCCTTTGCTCTGCGTCCTCTTCACATGCCGTGGGGCTCTATGTTCTATAAAGTGCAGATCTGGTTTTTGTTCCATTGCTGTGTATTGGCAGTTCCTCCTGAATGATGCAATGTAGGACGCTTACACGCACACGCTAATGCAGCCCAGTGTAATGAGGGCCTAATACTTTTGGTAACCATTCCACTCCAGGCACACGGGTCCATCTGTAGCAAAACATAGAAACTGTCCGAGTTCCTAATACTAAATACTAGGGCTGTTACTGATTAAAATGTTTGTGTTCAATTAATTATAACACACATACAGATCCAACTACATTGACCTATACACATACAGCACAGCAATGACCTATACACATACAGCACAGCAATGACCTATACACATACAGCACAGCAATGACCTATACACATACAGCACAGCAATGAAGTCATACAATGAACTCGGATCACACTCATCCAGCACGTTATTATTCTCACGTGCCCCACCCAATATGGCCGCCGCTTGAGTGCGGCAACTCAGAATAATAACGTGCTGGATTAGTGTGATCCGAGTTCATTCTATGACTTCATTGCTGTGCTGTATGTGTATAGGTCATTGCTGTGCTGTATGTGTATAGGTCATCGCTGTGCTGTATGTGTATAGGTCATTGCTGTGCTGTATGTGTATAGGCCATTGCTGCGCTGTATGTGTATAGGTCATTGCTGCGCTGTATGTGTATAGGTCATTGCTGTGCTGTATGTGTATAGGTCAATGCCTTGGCTGGCGCTCGTGCAGAAAGTTTAAAAAAAATGTAATCGATCAAAAAGATTAACGATTAATCGAGAAATGAATCGTTAATTTGCACAGCCCTACTAAATACTAAAAAATTACAATTCCGAATCCTTAAAAAAAGACATTAAATGTAAAGTTCATTCATAATTCCGATTCTGTACTAAGGGAACATTCTCCATGAAAGGGCGCCTGAAATATGAATGTTACCCGGCTGGATGAATAGAAATAATAGAAAGCTCAGATACATGCTGTTACTGGAGAAAAGGCTGCTCCTGGTTCCTTACAGCTCTGCATATCCAAAAGCCTAGGCATATAGTCATGTGACCTACGCTGAAGTAGAGGGTCAGAGTTCAGACTGGCTGATTCTCACCTTCTGCGATTAGCACCGAGGAAGATTCTCCTCCTGCAGAGCGTTTTCTTCTGTCCTGTTACTTTTTGTATTTCCATTCCAGATAAGCCGCTGATAGAGAGTAAAAGCCAAAGTGGGGAATGTTTAGAATCTTCATTTTGTGTTCTTTGCCGGGGAAATCTCTTTTTACTTCCTGTCATGGTGAGGCACCATGGGTGGGCTGACAACGGTGGGGCCAATTGGGAGGAAGTGGCTTAGCGTTGTCAGCCTGATACAGGAAGTGCTCTTGCTGCAGGATCTCCAGGAAAGAAACGTCACAAAGATTCCAAAGGTCCTGACAAAGAGATTTGAGGTTTCCATGCATGTGAGTCACTTGGCACAGATCTCCTGCTGTGACTTAGAACTCTTATCGATAAGAACATGGCCAATAGCACTATTACCGGCCGAATAATTCCACATTTTATGACTAGCGGCATCAATAGATCTGTGTTACTGATTACAATATGAGATCATTCATCGTCTGCTCTGGTGGCCTCTTCATACAATCAGTGTGTGTCGGTAACAATGGGACCTTGGCTGGTTCGGCTGCTGTGCCTCTCTTATTGTAATAAGGAATGTATTGGATACGGTATATCTGGGAGATGGAGGGGTCAGTGTATGTGTGGCACTGAATTAGAGCCAACCTAGGACCACTCGAAGGCTCCATTCACTTATAGCGTTTGCCTTTCTCGCGCAGTTTCCCGTGCGGACGCAAACGCTATAAGTGAAACAGCTGCACGGATAATATACTGTTATTATAAAGCCGAGAACGTGCGGAATCCACCAAACAAGCTCTTGGACTATATTGCGGGCCGCATGGTTCTGTACCGCACGGCTGCCGCAGATATATGAACAATCCACATTTAAAGCGCATTTGTTTTCTGCTTAGAGCAGCGTACAACCGCAGCAGTGTGAATGGAGCCTTAAGATGAACTGTAACCAGACTATAGACATCCAATCTTAACTAGCAGCAAACGTTACAAGAAGCTCTCACTGACCTCTGTAGCTGCATATACTGTGGGGTCATTCATCCTCAGAAATCACACTAAAAGTGAAATGATTCAAGCCGTGCACTTTGCTTTCTTATCTCTTTCTGTGCATTGCTCTAGATATCAGTGCACATCCTGTGCCAAGGGACTCTAGATATCAGTGCACATCCTGTGCCTAGGGACTCTAGATATCAGTGCACATCCTGTGCCAAGGGACTCTAGATATCAGTGCACATCCTGTGCCAACCCTAAGGGGCCACCCACATTCTGGAGGGGGACTGAAGAGTAAAGTAATTATACTTTATATGTTATTTACAAATCCGAAAATGTCTATTTTATTTTAATTATTGATAACACAAAACAGATGTTACTCCGGATGTCACCTTCAAAGGACATCAGAACATCTATTGGTATTATTATTATTATTTGACATTTTGTTATTTTTAGTGTTAAAGTGTACGTAAAGACAAAACCTTTTTTTAGGGTTGGATGGAGTGGGGAAGGCTTAGGATTGGTTGATTTTGTTTTGTTCTTTTATTGGGAAGATTTCTTTCAATTTCCTGTCCCAGAGACACAACACGAGTTGAGAGGAAATCAGTTGTCAATGGAACAGGAAGTCCCATTTGAATGCTTTCCCTTCTTCTCCTGTTTTGGTGACAACTCAAAAATGTTGGA